GTCTGCCAATACGGTCTAATATTCTTCTCCAACCTTTTCTAACATTCTTTTATATTACAGTGTTTCTGAAGATATATTTTAAATTTTTTCCAGTCTTCTTCCATCAACCCTTCTTCCTGATCTCGAATTCTGCCGGTCATCTCAGCCAGTTCCATATAGTCCATCACTTTCCTCTGCCATTCTTCTCGGGTAGGCAATTCTTGTGTCTTCCAGTATTTCCCAATAAGTATTCTTGCCGCTGCTGTCGCATACATAAAAAAATTCCTGTCTTCCCTTCGCACCAATTGGCCGACCATGCCCAAGAGGAAAGCCTCTGGTTTCTTCACGAAAGTATATTTCAATACCTTTTTTAATTCATTATATATCATTTCCCAGAAGGCCTTGATCTTTGGGCACGTCCACCAAAGGTGAAAAAAGGTTCCTTCATTTTCTTTGCATTTCCAACATTTATTATCGGGCAAGTGATAGATTTTAGCTAGCTTGACTGGGGTTAAGTACCACCTATAGATCATTTTCATTATATTTTCTCTTAATACATTGCAAGCCGTAAACTTCATACCTGTGGTCCATAACCGTTCCCAGTCAGCAAACATAATATTATGCCCAACATCTTGTGCCCATTTAATCATAGCAGACTTAACCATTTCATCCTGTGTATTCCATTTCAACAGCAGATTATACATTCTTGACAGATTTTTAGTTTTAGGTTCTAACAATTCCGTTTCCAGTTTAGATTTTTCCTCCTGGAAACCAATCTTTTATCTAGGTTAAAAACCTCCCTTATTTGATAGTAGTGAAGCCAATCTCGAACTTTAGTTTTTAATTTATCAAAGCTCTGCAATTTTAATTTATCTCCAACTTGTTCTAAAATTTCACAATATTTTGGCCAGTTTGTCTCCATATTTGTTTTTTTCAATGCCTTTGCCTCCATTGGTGACAGCCACCTTGGTGTTTTACTTTCCAACAAATCCTTATATCTCACCCAAACATTAAACAATGCTTTCCTGACAATATGATTCTTAAAGGCCTTATGCGCTTTAACTTTGTCATACCATAAATATGCATGCCATCCAAACACATTATCAAAACCTTCTAGATCTAAAATGTCCACATTTTCAAGAAGTAGCCAATCTTTCAGCCAACAAAAAGCGGCTGATTCATAGTAAAGTTTAAGATCTGGCAGGGCAAATCCCCTCTTTCCTTCGCGTCTGTTAATATCTTAAATTTTATTCTAGGCTTTTGCCCTGCCAGATAAATTTGGAAATATCTCTTTGCCACCTCTTGAAACAGTCCATTTTGTCCACAATTTGTAATGTTTGAAACAAAAACAACATTCTAGGCAATACATTCATCTTTATCGCTGCAATTCGGCCTAACAATGATAACTTCAATTTTGACCATATTTCTAAATCCTTCTTCACTTCTGACCAACATTTTTCATAATTATCTTTAAACAGATTCACATTTTTGGCAGTCATATTCACCCCTAGATATTTCACTTTATTAACAATTGTTAATCCTGTCTCTTTCTGAAACCTCTCCTTCTCAATCTCTGTAAGGTTTTTCTCTAATACCTTAGTTTTCGTCTTGTTTAATTTGAAACCTGCTACTTGACCAAATTCTTGGATTAATTGTAATACTCTTTTTGTGCTAGCTTCTGGCTCCTGTAATGTCAAAACTACATCATCAGCAAAAGCTTTCAATTTGTACTGTTTAGCTCCGAGTTGTATACCTTTAACCAATTGGTCTTTTCTAATCATATTGAGCAAAACCTCCAGGACCGATATAAAAAGCAATGGGGAGATTGGGCAACCCTGTCTTGTTCCTTTCTCTATCTTAAATTCTTCTGTAACTACATTGTTCACAATAAGCTTGGCTTTTTGTTCCGAATAAATTGCACCTATACCATTTTCAAAACTTTGGCCTACCCCCATCCCCTGCAAATTTTTCTTCATAAAACTCCAAGAAATATTGTCAAACGCTTTCTCTGCATCTACAAATATTAAGACAGCTTTAGTATTGATATTAACTTCAATTTTTCCAAAATATTAATAATATTCCTAGTATTATCTGACAAATGTCTCCCAGGGAGAAAGCCCGCCTGGTCTTTATGAATCTCTTTTACCAATACATTTTTTAATCTTTTAGCCATAATTTCCATAAAAATTTTGTAATCCACATTAAGTAGGGATATGGGACGGTAGTTC